TGATATTACCCTCACAAGCATGTTATTATTATTATAATTATAGCATATTATTTCCAATACCAACTTAGGGCGCTGAGGGCGTATGCAAGGGATATTACTGGTTCTCGTTTTTGCAATTTTCAGTGATTTTTTTAATTTCTTCATTTTTTATTTTCAAAAAACAATAAGACTTGTAATTAAGTTCATGTGTTTACGTACAAGTAATTTAAAACGCCCGTGCGCTAGTTTTGTATCACACAATCGAATGTCCATCTAGAATGTTCAAGGTATACTATTTCAACTTTGAACGTACTTGCCTCTACATATTGCGAGGAGAAAATTCTGAGCGTTTAAGAAACTGTCATTGTTATACGATACGATGCGATTGTCGAATAATTCTTGTTTTGTTGCCAAAAACGTTATTTATTTGACGATGAATCATATTTTACTGTGTTTATTTTTGTAATACTACTTTTTGGCTCGTCTCAATTGTTTAAACAGTACGCTAACCTTCGAAAGTACTCTTTTTTAGTTCCAAGTAAGTATCTGTTTACTAGATTCTTTGCTTTCAACAATTCCCATTTACTAGGAGAGTACTCAATCTTTGTTCCAAACAGGACCTGTTAACTAGTTCCCGATCGACGAGCTGTGTAACTACCGTTAGCCGTCCTTTTACTATCCGTTAACTGCAGCAATGTTACACACTTTTTTCTACACACTTTAGTATTACGTTTAACGTGTATTTATGTTTTTCAGCGGGCGATTTCTTAAAACTCGGCCTTCCTGCAGCGTACGCGTCCACCGTGCTGGCTTGGGGTTTTATTGAATTCCGTGATGCCTATGAAGTAGCCGGGGAAGCCAACTATATGCTAGACTGCTTACGCTGGTTTACCGATTATTTCATCAAGTGTCACACTTCGGATAATGAGTTGTATGTACACGTAAGTAACTGTGGCGAATCGTCCTATATAAAGATTCCTTTTGACTAGTAATAGTAACAGTCAGGCAACCGGGTACTAGTACTTAAAATGGTACACTTTTTAGATATGTCTGAGTGTTATTATTAACTTGTTTTTTGTTCTACTTGAAATACGGAATATAGTACAGTAGTGTAGTGTAGTGTAGTGCAGTGCAGTGCAGTGCAGTGCAGTGCAGTGCAGTGCAGTGCAGTGTCGTGTCGTGTCGTGTCGTGTCGTGTCGTGTCGTGTCGTGTCGTGCAGTGCAGTGCAGTGCAGTGCAGTGCAGTGCAGTGCAGTGCAGTGCAGTGCAGTGCAGTGTCGTGTCGTGTCGTGTCGTGTCGTGTCGTGTCGTGTCGTGTCGTGCAGTGCAGTGCAGTGCAGTGCAGTGCAGTGTCGTGTCGTGTCGTGTCGTGTCGTGTCGTGTCGTGTCGTGTCGTGTCGTGTCGTGTCGTGTCGTGTCGTGTCGTGTCGTGTCGTGCAGTGTCGTGCAGTGCAGTGCAGTGCAGTGCAGTGCAGTGCAGTGCAGTGCAGTGCAGTGCAGTGCAGTGCAGTGCAGTGCAGTGCAGTGCAGTGCAGTGCAGTGCAGTGCAGTGCAGTGCAGTGCAGTGTCGTGTCGTGTCGTGTCGTGTCGTGTCGTGTCGTGTCGTGTCGTGTCGTGTCGTGTCGTGTCGTGTCGTGTCGTGTCGTGTCGTGTCGTGTCGTGTCGTGTCGTGTCGTGTCGTGTGTGAGTGCAGTGCAGTGCAGTGCAGTGCAGTGCAGTGCAGTGCAGTGCAGTGCAGTGCAGTGCAGTGTAGTGTCGTGTCGTGTCGTGTCGTGTCGTGTCGTGTCGTGTCGTGTAGCGTAGCGTAGTGTAGCGCAGTGCGGCGTAGCGTTGCGTTTTACTTATGGTATTTGAGTTCAAATAAATAATCTTTTTTTCGACTAAACGACGATTATAGAATGCATTTAACAAAGTTGTAATACTGTACTCAGTTGAAAATTAAATAATGAATAAAAACAAGTACTTTTTTATAATATTTTAATAAAAAATTGGTTTTATTGTAAACTACTAAAATGTTGCTTTCACAACACACATTATAGTATTTGTTGGATGAAAAACACGTAAATGTACACAGCGATTGTTGTTTTACGCACCAATACAATCAGTACAAGTGCGTATTAGAACATTTCGTTGTTCATCGAACGAATAATCAGCTACGTGCTGTAAGAGCAGCGTTTATAATTCATGATAAATCATGTATTCATTATTACATAGGTGGGTCTTGTCGACGCCGATCACAGTTACTGGGGGCGCCCGGAAGACATGACGATGGCCCGTCCAGCATTCATGGTTAATGAAACACACCCAGGATCAGACTGCGTTGGCGAAACGGCGGCTGCAATGGCTGCGGCTTCCATTGCCTTCAAAGAGCACGGTAAGCTTACGTGGGCCTGTATTTTCTGAAAAATAGACTTGTTTGCGAGAATAAATTGAAATCGAGCACACATTATACGAAACATCATCAATATGAATGGTCACAACAACAAGCTTTGCTGTTTCAGATAATGACTACGCAGAATTACTGTTAGATGAAGCTCGGTCGTTGTTTCATTTTGCTGACACCTATCGTGGTATTTATTCGGACAGCGTACCGGAAGCAGGCAAGGTTTACAAGTAAGATATGGAAGTCCGTCTTATTCCCTAACACGAATATAAACAAATCTTGTTAGTACTAGTATATAATATGTAATATATATAAATAGACTCAATTTTTCTCCAAAAATTATACAATCGCACATCATGTCACTCTCTGTTTTTTTGTTTGGAAATGTAACTAAGTAACCCATCCTCAATCAGAACCACGTGTAACCATATATATATATATACTATATGAATATCAAGGGCACGGGTGTTAAATAAGTGTTACCATATATCTATACTCAATGTATTATGAATGGCTTGGTAGCTTTAATAGTGCATATCATAATTATGATTGCAGAAAATCGTAGACTAACAAGTGAGGCTGTTTTATAGATGCAGATTCATGAATGCGTTTGGTACACGTCAGACCCCCTGCATCGTTACGATTCATGTGGTTAGAGGCAAATTTCGAAAGTGATATAACTGTATGAACTATCTTGAGTTCGCGAACCCAATTGCATTCAAGCTGTTGTATGGTTCTACTAAAACAATTATCGGTGTGTGTTCAGTAATTAGTTTTATAAAACCGATGACTGCATTGGCTGCTTCATTCTGATCCCACTCATTGCATTGAGTATGGTCGATGTCCTGCGGTTCTAATCACGTAATAGCATCATGATTATTTCATGGGTTCGTATTTCAGATCTAACGGGTACAAAGATGAATTAACTTGGGCGGCATGTTGGCTCTATTATGCGACGGAGAACGACGAGTATTTAGAATATGCCCTCCGAATGAACAGCGAGCTATCACGGGGACGACCTTACTCATTCGCGTGGAACAACGTGTTGGCTGGAGTACGCGTGAGTAGGAGAAATTCATATATTTATTGACTACCCACAGACACCTTCAAGTTCGCCCTTCACAATTTTGACAAATCCATCTTATTGAAAATAACCGACCTACACGCCCTCAACGGTATCATTTACACAAGGCAGTTGATCATTATTGAACTATCCTCGGGGCGGACATCCTGGCATTTTCACCGCCTGGCAACCATTGCGGTGAAAACAAAGGCCAAAAACACGAAGAAACCAGTACTTTGGGATGGTTGTTGAGACTCCCCTGAACAGTGTAACAAAATTAGCTCTGCGTGTGTAACATATATTAATTCGGTTGTTCAGGATTACTTTTAAGTTGAGTTTGAGTTGTTTTCTCGGATTTTCACCGGCTCGACCGGCGGCCCACAGCAGCGAGCACAGAGCCCATAGAAATGCATGGTTCAGGGGAACGTCTTGTAAAGTAGCTCCGCCCCGAGGATATTCCTCTAGGTCACAGTCCCTCAACACCACTGTGTCCAGGTGAATCGAAGCATATACACAAGGTATATATATCGAAAAACAAGTTGTTCTCTGATTGGTCTGACTGTTAGTGTTAAGGATTGGTAGCCAATCAATACATGTTATAAGTAGTTTCGCATTGACTATATACCTTTGTCAGCTCTTGTTATACAGGTTTACTGGAGAGAAAGTTTTTTCACAACAAACCAAATCGTTTATGAACAACTGGTTACCCGGAGGTAGTATTCCATATACTCCAGAAGGTCTGGTTTTTCGTCATGAATGGGGCTCTCTCAGATACTCGTGTAAGTCAGTTAACATATGGGCTATGTTGAATTTATTCTTGTCAATTGCATTAAATTATGCGTGTGTTGGCGACTGGAGCAACTCGAATGCAAAAGTTTAGCGTACAAACTGTTTCAAATACAACAGCGCCGTCAACGACTGGTATGACAGAATAATAACTAGTTCAAACATCTTTTGAAACGTACACCCCCCGCATGCTAAAATGCACCTGGAAGGACACCCAAACTTTTATACACAAATAAATTCTGATACATAACTGGACATCACTGTACCAACTGGCTCCTATGATTTCAAAAACGAAATGCACAGAGGTACAACTGTCGCACTGCTACCTTGGCGATATGATTCGCGATCGATGGCCGGTAGGATTCATTACGCTGAGAAAATTTAATTGTCTTGTATTATATTTACTGAATCTCCGTAGTATAAGATCCCGTGTACATTTTAATGATCTTATATCAATATCGATTTGGCCGAACAAAAAAAACAACATAAAGATGGTACTGCGGACGAACATTACCGTAAGATCAGACAGCCAGGGAAATAGTCGGCGTAGTATGCACAATATCTACAATACTGGTTTCCAACAGTACTTATGAATCAAATTCCTTAAAATTACATTCAATGTTTATGTTTTCTACTAAGTTTAGTCATGATTTTTGTTTTTGGTAACAAGGATTATAGTTATTGATATTTAGATCGACACGAGACGCTTACTTTCAGTGTGTTAATTTACCGGAATCGTTAAAATCTTCTGAATGTTACGATGTTTCCTCCTACTTAGCGTCAACAGCATTTATTGCACTAGTGGCATCGGCTTATGGAATAAGGACAATACCATATCAGAGTTGGGCAAAAGAACAGATAGGATACATACTTGGTGATACTGGCAAAAGCTACGTGGTTGGCTACGGTGACGACCCCCCTCAGCGCCCCCACCACAGAGCAAGGTATTTTTTTTTATATCCGCTCTCGTGTAGAAACAGTTCTCACATATTAACGAGTGTCGGATATTGGGAAGTAATTTCTGTTGAATCTATTGTGTTCTTATCAAAAAGATATGACGGCAATTAGCGGGGGGAGGTTTATAAATTTACACGTCAAACAAACTAAAGGAACAATACAAATTACAATGAATTTATACTCCTCTGTGTCACGTTTGACATTTGATGAGTCGATCATCCTTACTGGGCACCGTGATACTTTGTATAGCTATTGTCCGCTATATCAATATAACATTGATTGTTTGTCAGTAATTTTGATAACACATTTATATGTGTCATGTGCGAGAAAACCTACCAAATACACAGCTTCCAATGATGACACTAATATGGAAATGTTTTCGTTGATCGACGAGATAGTGCACTTTTCATTTTTATATTAAGATTTACATCTTTTATTAACTACCTACCGTTTAAATTGTGTTTAAAAGTTCCTGTCCTTTGCCACCTCAAAAATGCGGATGGGGTATCCATGGTTACGCCTCTCCTGATCCTAACCCACATGTATTATATGGGGCGATGGTTGGTGGCCCTGACAAATTGGACCAGTTTGCTGACTCGCGGTCTGATTACATGCACAATGAGGTGGCTCTGGATTTCAACGCTGGCTTCCAGTCAGCCATTGCAGGTAATCTGACTTCGTTTTCGATTAGATTTGGGAGAAATTCTCAAATATTCAATTTGTATTTTACTGTACATGTAATTATGACATTGGATACAAAAAATACACTTATATACTTTTTTGTTACAATACTTGCTTTGAGGGCTATGTGACGCACATCTATTGAATGTAAATAAAATTCATTGGGCATATAGGTGTTTACTTTAGATCATTGAGCTTGATCGTTATTCCATGAATACACGGCCATGTTGAATAACAGCCTTGGTTAAATCAAAGACATTCTATTGTCATTGGTTAAATCACATTAGTGTGAGTGTCATTTTCTGTTTAACGCCGATCGATAATTTGAAATAAAAATGATTATGTTAATATTGTCATTTATCATAACTGATATTCGGGAGACACCGTTTTATTTGTTGATCTCGTGATATTTTTGATCATGGTGTTATTTTACACATAACGTACCATTCCCGAATCCATATATAATAAAACTATTCTACTACCTTGCCAATATTAATCACTGTGTATTAACACGTGTGGTCATTACCAATATATTGAAAACGAAATCAAGGTTGCGACTCGCGGTGAATCAGGCAAAAAACCAAAGCAGAATCAGCGAGATGACGTCTTGTCCATTTTTTAAGGTTCTACGGTAACATGCGATCCGGTCTAATATGCAACATCGTTCGGAAATTTAACAGATTCAGATTTACTTTCATATTAGGTAATTTGAGATTTATTTTGGAATCAGAATTCAACAAATCGAATCGTAGGATGTTTGAGTTTAATAACCCTGTGAGGCCTTTGGCATTTGTGAGGCAATAATTGCACAAGTAGTGTAAAAAATACCACCCACACAGGCCCCTGCAGCTGGGAGTCTGAGATTATATTAATCTTAAAAATTCGCATCTGACCTGGTACAACAGTGTAAGGGTTTTCTCGGTTGATATCGGATTTGCAGTTTTCACGAAATCTTGAATAAATATATTTTGCATCCAGATGGCATTACACGGAGAATTATAACGTTACGCATAAATATATTTCATTACGCGGAGAAAGATACTGTTACTCATAAATGCTTTACGCAGCGAAGATTATGTTTAATTAAGTATATCTATGCATGTTCACCGTCATCTAAATAGCGCGCCATATCATTGTGAGTATGTAGCACGAGTAATGTAAGAAATTAATAACACACAATTAAATTAATTTGTTTTCACCCTGCTATGATTTATTCAACAGGACTGAAACACTTCCAGCTGAACACATGAAGGCGCACTTCACGCTGGCAGAGTATCAAGGACACACACACAGATGACATGGATTTGGTTGAATGAAGTACAACATCCAACATTGTTAAACCTACACCATTACGTGTTCTATACCTGCCACTTCAACGAAATTGAAATTTCATAGCTATGTTTTACTATATTACGTTATTAAACTCACGATTTATAATACAATATATGGAATATAATGCAATTCGTATCAGATCAAGTAATACAACCCTCCTTCCCCGATAATCTCAAACATGGTTCAAACTGTTCTCCCCCTTGGGGGAAAATTAGGAATGCCTTATCCCAACAAAAACCATTGCCCGCCAATCATTACTGATACGTAGATTAAATAGTGCCTAACAAAGAAAATTATTCCACTTTCTAACACAACTTTCTTTATCGGTATCAATTTTTAGATAAGGCATTTTGTTTTCACCATGTTAAATGTAGGAAGGTTGTGAATACAGTGACACATGCGATATAGAAATTTAAAAGTTAATTTTCAAGACAACGCAGCATCGAATAAGTCTAAGGAAGAAAGTGAAAAATTAACGTTAAATCTCAAAAGCGCGTTGCTGTAATACAATCTAGACAACTCACGAAAAAACGATATTTCTGGGTACGTGCTGCCAGCCTTGACCTTGGTCAATGGTTCTTCATTGCACGATTCATTTCAACATAGCCAAAGTTCCACAAGACTTTATTGCGCTCCCTGCATTGTGACATAAACGAAGCTAATTTGTCATTCATAAGATTGTAAGCAACATACGTCAACGTACCCCAGCGTTCTATTGTTACTTACAATACAATGTGATTTACAATACATTATTAGAGAGTTTGCTCAGCGTGTGTGTATGCTTGGAGAACTTGATATAGAAAAATCAATGACAATCTGCTAGCGAGTACAGACGCTGCTTAATTGA